GTAAATTTATTTTATATAATTAATGTTTTAAACTTAATTATTACAAATAACTAATTATTGCAAAAACATGGTCCATGGCTTCGCATTCCATGTATTACTACGCCTTGAATTGCGTTGCAATGATTTTATGTCATTTATCATAGTGAATACTCGGTCCATATTATTAACAGCATTTCTTACGTGTCTTAAATTATTAATAGACAATTCTTCTCTAAGGTGTTTTGCTAGATATTCTAACTCGACTACCTTAGCTTCACATTGTTGATAGAGATCCGGATCAACTCTTTCATCATCATTGTCAGCAGAAAAAATAGTACTAGATTGCTGTTGTGAGTCTAAGTTAGGTATGTGAATGGTATCCTTTGGTTCATTGCCATTCCAGATAAGGAATGGATAATCTGTTCGTCGTTTGAAATTTTGATAAATAAGTCAGATTCCTTCTGGGTTATGCAACCTTTCCTTCTCAATTGCCCGGTGGATGAGATGCTTACAAATAAGGAATCGGCTATGTAAAAATGAAGGACAGCTACATATCCAACAATTTAAATCAATTGCATAACGGTTTTCCATATTATCAGCAATTGGCTGTTCAGCAAGTTGATTCCAGGTTTTCTTAAATTCTTCGAACCACTTTGGTGTTATTCGACCATGATATATTTGCTGATAACGAGTAGTTTGATCAGGTAAAACTCGAGAACAAATAATCCATACCAAATAATCTAATCTTGGCCTGTTAAACCGATATAGATAACAATGTTTGAGCACTTTCCAATGCGATTCTATCATCATATTCGTTTTTCCAATTGGTATTGTTGCTCGCATTGAACGTGCCCAGAGATGCCAACGTGATATTTTATACCATGAAGACCACAGGTATGACCATAATATTACAAGATTATGTTCTACACAAAAACTATATAATTCAAGCACTGCATGTTCTCGAATCTCTGCAGATGTCAAACATTTACCATCTGCATTAATAGGTATTTTTGGGTGCATATTAAAATGCTTTCTAATGAGATTTATAATATCTTTTCGTAGATCTAATGGGCAGACTTGGTAATAATCAGGGTCAGAACGATTCAATTCTGGTTTAAACTTTGGGTTAATGAAACTAAACTCAGCAGCGGCTTCTTCAGGTTGATATTGGGTGTATTGTATTCTTTTTTTACTTTTTAATTTTTTATTGATTGCTTGATCAATATGCCATTGGCATAATTGTATATCAGATTGTGGCCATACCTCTTTTGCTGCATTTATTTCAGCAAAATCTTTGTCCGTGTAGAAATAGGTCGGATTTAGCCCATGACTCCGAATAGAATTAAAAAAATTGGCGAGAACATTTGTCTTTAAATACTCATGTGACTCTTTTTCTTGAGCATTTGTAGTATTTAATAGCAAATATGCTAAGGGAAAACCTGCGCCATCAATATTACCAATGAGACCATACAATTCAAACCGGCCTTTCGCAGTTTTATAAGTGGCATCGCAATGGACTTCTGATACGGATAAAAGAGTACTAAATAGGGGTGTCATAAAGCCTATTGCAATTATTTTATCAGTTATTAATTCGAAGCAGAGTTTGCAACCTGGAGCACGATTCGATCTAAGGAATGTAAGTGCTGAAATGACATGGTCTTCATCTGTTTTGTATGAGTCTTGCGCAAACACTGACCACCAATAATAAATCTGCTTTGCCGTAATATTTAAAATTTCAAATTTATTACGAAGAATTGTACGAATTTGTATTGGATCTAAATGAAGGTTGGTACGGATCTCTTGTTTAATTTCTTCTGGTGTTGAGACATCTTCAGGTTTTTCATGAATAATATCATGGCGAAGTTTTAATATAGCTTCCATCGCAGGTGCATCGACATGAAGGGTTAATTTACCATGACAATCAAATCGAGCAATTCTTTTTCGATTTGATTGCTTATATTCACGCTCTAATTCATAGCATTGAGAACATGCGAAGTAATATGTGGAAACATTATCAAATCGAACTGAGGTATATGGTGCCGTTGTAGCTGACCAGACATAATCATCGCCCTCTTCAACTTCATCTACTATTATTCTTACAATTGATTTAAGGTCATTAGGCTCAACTTCTGAAAAAATATCATCATTAAGATCGATACGAATTTCAAACGAAATCCCATTATTATTTTCAACATTGGAGATTAAGTTTTCTATATAATTACAAAGGAATTGTGTTGAAATTGTCTCCATAATAGGTTGAGTATTATTAGTATCTAATTTTTTTCGTTTTTCGGCTTTATTAATAAGACAATTAGCACAAGTTTTATAAGTTTTTCCTTTATACATGAAAGATTCTGGCGGATAATAACGAGTACAAGAATTGCATTTATTCATTTTTAGTAGAAGTTAAATGGACAATCTTTGAAAAGTAATAGAATTACAAGTAATTAAAAGCAAGAACGTAATAGTACTAAAGAATGGGCAATAATCAAACTAAGAGATATTTATATACAAATTTCCCAAGGATTTAATATATTATTACGAAATAGGCGCAATAAACTGAAGCTTTCTTATTCAATGCATGTAAGCCAAGTTTTCAAAATTATAATTATGGTTTAACATTAATGCGAACGTTAGAAATTAATTGATTATATTTTATTAATAGTTAATAAACTAATAGCTAAATAGCAGATAATTTTCTCAAAGTTATATTTAATAATAATATTTATTCTTTTAGACTTTATAGGCTCCACGTTGAATTTTAGAGTAAATAAATTATGTGAAAGTTTCTATATATTCCACGACAAATTTGTGTGAATTAGAAGAGTCAAATTCACGTTTTTGATTTGATGGAATACATTACTTTGAACTATAAAATAAATTATAGACTCCACGTTGATTTCAGAAAAATAAATTATACAAAGATCTCTGTCGATTCTACAACAGACTTGCGTGGATTAGATGAATCAAATTCACGTATATAATTTGTTTAAATATATTACTTGGAATCATAAAAATAATATACGTGAAAAATATGTTCACTTATTTCATATTTATTTATTATATTTATTACAGGAGTCACTACGCCTTTGTATATCCAATTAATATGGCCACTTACGTATATATCCCAGCATTTATTATATTTACCGGAGGAGTCACTGCGCCTTTGCA